ACCAAAGAAATAAAATATTTTCATGTACCCCTTGCAATGCACTCACGGATCACTAGGTATCCCCTGATCAGTAGGAATTTATGGTTACCGCAGCAACCACAAGGAGGAGACTTTTTAAGTATTGAAGACAGAAACAGAGTTTGATGGATGAAGTAATCATATTAACGAGCAATGCGCTGGCTGCGATATCTCAGATTTATTTAGTTCTTTCAGGGCCTCCTGAATGAGCCTTAGGAGGGAGATGAGGAGGAAAAGGTTGGATCTCCAGGTTAACTGCAGAATTCAGCTGCTTAATCCATACATCTGATCTCCAGGTGGAGCATTAAGAAGCCTGTTAGCCCATAGAGAACAAAACTCTGGACTGAGATGATGGGTTCACCTCCAAAAGAGGCAGAGCTTCATCTTCTCTGCAAAATGGGATTCTACCATTAAAACCAAACTCTTCCACAAGTCTCAGTGGGATTTAGAGGGAGGCAGAAAATCAGCAGTTTTTAGCTTTGGTTTCCTACCCTGGATGGTCCTCGGTATAAACCCCGGAGCTGATCCCAGGACAGCTCCTGCTGCACATCCAGCGTCACTGCAGCCAATACCTGGAACACAGCAAACATGCCATCACCGCGTGTCCAACGCGCCTTTAAAGGAGGAAGGTTGAACATCCTGGTGCTACATGAGAAATGGATGAGTGAAGCTTTCAGCCACATCATCTCATTATTGAATCTGGAGCTACACAGAAAAAGATAAGATCTTAGCTGCTTTCCAAGGAGCACGCTGCAAAAGCATGCAATATAAGTCTATCTTTCAGCTCTCCATGTGTCCGCAGAATAAGATGATTTATGTTTAAAATAAGAAAAAAAAATTTTTTGATGTTATTTCAGATGCATAATTCCTCATTTTCTTATTTTAAGGCCAAAACTACTTATTCCATTGATCACCTTATTTACCTGTTCAAATTAAGGAAAAACAGACTGATTTGACATTTTTTTTGTTTTAGATCAGTTTTTGCAGCGGCAGGGCTACCATCACGTACGTTTTACTGCTGGTTTTGTCTGACTTCAGACCAAGCCTTACCTTCTTCCCGTGGGCCTCGCCTCCTTTCTGCTGATGTCCTGATGAGAAACGAGTCTGAGGCAGAGAAAAACACGACTCGTCATATCTGCTTGTTTTAATGCTGCAATAGTTCTGCTCCAACAGCCTTATTTCTTATTTCAACTGTTGCGTACATTAGCTGTGACATATGAGTCAAGATGCTATGACCGAAAAAATTTGATTGACAGATGACATTGATATATGATTGGCCGAATTTAGGTGTTCAGGCTGACGTATAACTAACTGGCCTGCATAAAATAATGAAAAAAAACCCAGATTATAAGACAGGATTGTTTTTTTTTAAATAGAAATTTTCTAAATTTTGGGACAATATGTCTTATAAAGAGTACATTTATATAAATGTTTAAGCCAGAATGATTTGACATTTAAATATGATTTCCCTATGACTTTTAATCCAGTTGATTCCGTTCTGAGTCCTTTTTTACAAACTTTGCCTCCTAATGAGTGGAGAAGCACCAACCTGGGCGAGTGACGCGCTGCGGCTCCTACTGGGTTCAACAGAAGCCCCGCCCCTTCCTCCATGGCTGGAAGAACACTTGTAGCACCTCCAAGGCTGTGGCAGCTCGGAGCTCTGGCCCCGCCCACAGTCTTTCTGCTGGAGGCACTGCAGGTGGTACAGGTGGCCACAGCTGGAGGAAACAGGAAAATGTGTAAGTGGTGGCAGGTCTATTCATAGGAGTGGTTAGCATTAGCAAATGTTGAGCAGAAGGAACGCTGCCTCCTGAGTCCCTTAGCTCCTGTAAATCAGCACCAACGCTCTACATTAGAAACACCTGAGCTCAGGCTAACCTGACCTAATGGTGCATAATCCTATCGTGTCAGTGTTGGCATGGTAACCAAAAGTAGTTATTGATATATTTTGGACATATCAACCTTTATAAAACAAATATTTATATATTTTTTTAAATAAAAAGAATCCTTTTATTCGGCTCCACTCTACATGTTCTTTTGATGGATTATTTATTGGAAAATTGATCATTTTGAAGAAAACATGGTCAGGATCTTCAAATCAATCCAAAAATTCTGCACTTTCTGTTAAACATGGTCTAAAATCCAGACACAGAGTATTTATATTAGAAAAACACTGTACAGTATTTTATTTGTTTATTTTCTTAACTCTGTCACCGTCCACATTGAGTCACCAGTTCTGCTATAACTGTTTGCTGCTGCTGGAACACCACATTTTGGGACAATAAAGGGATTTTCTATTCTGTTCTAAATTCAGTCTCAACCAGGTGATCTTTTTTAATCAAAAGTTGCATATCAGTGAAAATCAAAACCTACAATTTAATAAACCTTTATCTGCATCCACCAACTGGACCGGTTAATCTGATTAACAGATTAATGAATTTATTCCAATCCAGAGGCCTGTAAATGGCCCCTGCCCATTATCCTCCTGCAGCAGTGTGTCGCAGTGAGCAACGCAAGAGGGACAATCAGGAACTAGCTGTGGGTCTAGATACGGGCGAGGCGGTGAGGATGTGGAGGCAAGTTTGTGGGACAACGGAGGGACATGAGGGGCAAAAAGAGCGGGGATCCAGTTGAAAAAAGGGTCCCAGCGTTCTTGTGCACCTCGCTCTTCTAGCTGGTCCAACTTCGCGAGTCGTTTTTCACAATGGTGGTCATTCAAACAAAACAAGCCAGTAAGCTACCAAACAGGAAAAAAGCATAGTGTAGTGTGGATGTAGATTTGGCCAATCAGAGGCCTCCTGTCTGTGGTCTCCTTTCAGTTTTGGAGAGGTGCACCAGAGTGTCTGTGGAGGGGGGGGGCATATTTGCGTTCACTGCGACACACGCAGACCACCTGGTTTCTGAGTATAAATCAGCCTTGATGCGTAGTTGAAAAGCAGTATCTCACTCCCATTTATTAATTTTCATAGAATTTCAATTTATTATTACTTTTGTCTGATTGAAAATATTTCTGTGTCCAATCTGTTTTTTTTCTTTTATTAAAGGAGGGGGACCACGCAACCCTGTTTTTATTTACTCAGTAAAACCTCCCAGCTCCCAGCATGGAGGCAGCATTAAGGCTGAGGTCTGTGGGTTTTTCCAGAACATCTGTTACCTGAACACAACGATCTCCTCCGTCGCATCCTGCTTCCTCTTGTAGTGCTGCAGGCAGATGTTGCAGCAGTCTTGTCGTGGATGAAGCCCTCTGGTGACGACAGAGCGGAGATGAGCCAAGGACCAGTGGAGGTCGTGGTTCAGCAGACTTGTTGTTGTTTCCAGCAATGTCTGAGAGACAAACAAACATCTTTACTGCTTCTATCTCAAATACCATTACCTTACATATCCAATTAGATTTCTACTTGGCTCTACCTTTCTTATACCTAAACCAAAATGCTTTGGTTATCCTGAGCTATTTTCTGCATTTGTGCTGCTATAGGCTTAGCCCGCTGGAGGACATAGGGACCCTTTTACATCATTATATCTCTATTCTCCCATTCTGCTGTATTTGTTAGTAGTTCAATCTCTAATCTTATGCTCTCTCTTGAATTGTCTGAGTAAAGTGCATTGAGATAGAATGTGTTGTGAATTGGAGCTATAGAATTAAAGTGAATTCAATTGAATTGATTTATTTAAGAAGGCTTTAAACTGTTACATTACCTAAGCTTTTTCAAACAAAGGGCTGAACATTTACAAGACAATAAAGCAAAATGATATAGAATGAAACAATTAAGACTAATAGGTAAACAAGAATCAAAGACACTTAAACTAAATGGAAATGAGATGCATAGGATGAGTGAACAAGTGTGTCTCTAACTTAGCTTTGAAACCGTCCATGTCTATGGGGAGATATCTTCAGAGGGACGGAACACGGAGGAAAAAAAGCTCCGCAACAATTTGGGCTTCAGGAAACCGTTTAATGAGGCAGTTATCACGTTTCAAGGCAAATCTTTGGGACAGATGATGTAATTTCTGACATCCAGTGACTATCAGTCTTGTCAGCATTAAGAAGCAGGAGATTATTAGATAGCCAGTCCCTCAGCGCAGACAGACTTTATTTCTGACTCGTCAGAAAACCTTCCTACGGTTACACATCATCAGCATGGCAGCCGATTACATGAAACCTAATGTGAATAAACTGCCAGTTAGTTTGTGGAAATCTGCTCTTTTTTCCCCAGTTTCAGCTGACAGACGTGTATGTATCTCTGGTAGATTTATTTCATTTTAAGGCTTATTTTTTTATACTTTTTCATATGTATGTTTTTATTTGAGGGTTGAGAGAAAGGAAATTTCTGTTTTGTGTATGTATACACATGGCTGACATAAAAATAAAGTTACTTTGGCTTGAAAAGACAGAGAGGCAGAAGGTGGAGAGAAAAAAAGCAATGGGGCCGGGAGCAGACCCCTGAGGGACCCCATGCCTCGTGGAACAGGTCTCTGAGTGATCACTTTTACAAACTAACATTCTGAGATCTCCCTTGTAGGCAGGATCTACAGCCGTGGGAGTATATTCCCTATCTAATTAAGATCTAAACTCAAAGATCATCTGACTGAACCCAAATTGCCCTTCTCCATATACAGATTTTGTCAATTAAGACATAAAAGCTCCAAACAAGCTGCCACCTGGGAAGAAAAAAATGACCCCAAATCCTAACAGCTCAGGCCAACCAAGAAATCAGTGAGAGCTGACATCCGGTCTACTGTCCAGTTCATGGCATGTAAAGGGAACCTGTCTATGAAGTCTCACCTGTTCATAGGTAAAGGTGTCCAACATCCCCAGAATGAGCCCCTGAATCTCCGCCAGCTTTCCTCGTCCATAAACGGGATCCTGATGGAAACAATCCAGCAGTTCGTGTCAGATGTTTGAAGCAGATTCACTGAATTTCCTGAGAGAAACTCCACCCACCAGAGCTGAAGGGTGGCTAAGACTGGAATCAACATGTGTTTCTGACTAGAATATCTAATTTTCTAAAACAGAATAAGACCAAAGATTCAGAGCGATCTGCCCTCCTGGTGAAAAACTTTTTTTCACCAGCCGAGGTTCTTCTGTAATCAGTAAACTAGCTAACTTGAATAAAAAGCCGGGGCTCATATTTCTATGTGAACAGTTGATCTGTTGGCTGGAGGTGAAGCAACGTTTCTCTGAGGACATTAGGACCTAACATCCTCATGGTTGAAGTGCAGTAATCATGACCTCAGCTTACCCAACAGAGGAATCGGTTGTTTAAACAGCAACCCAAAGCCACAGATACACACCTGCAGTATGTGCTGAATGATGGCGGGGAGGGAAATAAAGCTGCTCATACAGTTCAGGACCTTCAGGGTCATCTCCTTCAGACCTGCCACAAACACAGACATGTTGTCTTACTAGAACAATAATGACAATAATGACAGGTTGTTCTCAAGAAATAAAACCTAAACATCTAACTCCGTCTGAACGTCCGCGCTGACCTCTAAATCCCTCCATCACTATCTAGAGCTGGGACTATACAGTGAACTTTATAGTGAACTTAATTAAGTGACGGTTCAGATAGATGATCACTGCTTTTTGCTCTCTGTTGATCATGTAACTCCGCCTTTCTTCATCGTCCGCGGGGCGCTGTGACAACAAATCTGATGATACTTTGAGAGCTGAGAGCTCTCCACACAAAGCATGTTGGAACACATTTGCTTGTCTAGTGACCATGGATCATCACTACTTTTCAAGGTGCATTGTGGGAAATTTCAAGTCAACAACTTTTCCATCCACTAGATGTTTGGACATTAAGTGCCCTATAGAGTGATTAGGGTGGATGTTTGGACACAGCCACTGTTTCCGATGGATGGATGGATGGAAGGATGGATGGATGGATGGATGGATGGATG